GAGCCAAACAGGGAGCCAGTTAAATGTAAGTCCTTAAAGCCAGTCTAGCCGGGGACCGGAAGCAGGGGCAATGGGCAACTGTCAGTGCCTGGCGTTCCGAGTCAGGTGGCATGATTTATCGAGCCTCTGAGTTGGAACAGGGTCAGCAGGTTGTCTGGCGACCGTGACCATGCCCAGCTCTACCCGTAGCCGAAACTCTTGGCGGCAATGCATGAATGAGCGAAAATGCTGTCGACGTCCAGCGAAAATGTCCGGATAAGTGCTCAAGGAAAATGTCCGTTGGATTTCCGTTGAGTCGCTGAGTTTTGAGCCACGGGGTAGGGCCCGAACAGAGGTAGCGAATCAGGATACGGCTTCCTGGTACTGCCCCGGGGGCTTTCGATTTTCAACGATTCACCTCATAATTCTCGTAGAAGCGGGGCCATAACCCTCGCCACGTCTGGGGGCTGCAACTACATGAGTGCCAAATGTGACCCTCAATTTAGGTGGACCAAAGGGCGCTACTCCGAAGTGTGGAGTTTCGGACATTGCCATGCTCAGACTCCTTAGTGTCACCAACTTCGCCACCATAGAACAGCTCGAAATTGAGTTGGCACCCAGCTTTAGTGTGCTGACCGGGGAGACGGGGGCCGGCAAGTCGATCATCGTGGATGCGCTGAGCCTTCTACTTGGAGGACGCGCCGATGTTGGCATGGTACGTTCCGGGTGCACGCCAGTCCAGAGTAGAGGGCAGTCTTCCTGCTTAGCGACGACATCTCTCAGAAAATCAAAGTTGCTCTGAATGAGTACGAAATTGACGTGGCGAAGAGGAGATAATCCTCGCTCGGGAGGTCAACCTGGATGGGCGCAACACCTGCCGGGTGAACGGGCGAATCGTACCTCTCAGGCTGTTAAGCACACTGGCCCAACACCTGGTGGACATCCATGGCCAAAATCAGCACCTATCCCTTCTCCGCGTACGTGAGCACATGGATATCCTGGACAAGTATGGTGGGCTATGGCAGCTTCGCACCGAGGTGGCAGAGGGGTCCCGCCAGCTAACGGAGGTGCGGCAAGAGCTAGACCGGCTGCGGAAGGATGAAGAAGAGCTTGCTCAACGGGTGGATTTTCTGAGGTATCAGGTAGGAGAGATCAGCACAGCAAATCTACGCCCATCTGAAGATGATGACCTGACCCTGGAGAGGGACCGGGTCGCCAACGCAGAGCGAATTATCACACTGTCCGACCACGCCTACAGAGCGTTATACGATAGCTTCAGACGGTCACGAATCGGTCATGGACCTTATCGGGCAGGTGTCCAAGGACCTTTCCCAATGGAGCGATTGGACCCCTCATTGAGCGAGAACCTTGAGTCGGTAGACGCCTTGACCCACCAGGTGGACGAGTTGGCGCGTGCACTCCGAAGCTATCGTGACGGCATCGAATACAGCCCGGACCGTCTTCAGGAGCTTGAGGAGCGATTGGACTTGATCAACGGTCTCAAAAGGAAGTACGGCAGCACCATCGGAGAAATCCTGGCCTTCGGCGAGAGGGCCTCGCAGGAGCTGGAAAAGCTATATCACAGCGAAGAGCGTGTGAGGGATTGAAGTCCCGAGAGATGGATCTTCGAAGGCAGGTCGGCAGACTTGCGGGTCAGCTCTCCGAAGCCCGGCAACACGCAGCCAAGCGCCTGGCTGATGCCATACAGGAAGAGGTCGCCGGGCTGGCCTTGGGACATGCCCAAGTGCTTGTGGATATCCGTCAATCAGACTCGGAGGACGGTGTGCCGGTTGGGACCGCGGATCCGGTCCCGTACGCAACACCTTCTTTAGGTGGGGAGTCTATCAGCACCTCGCGTTCAACGGGACAGGGTATAGACTCCGTGGAATTCTTGATCTCACTGAACCCGGGCGAACCGCCACGCCCCCTAGCCAGGATCGCCTCGGGGGGAGAAACCTCCAGGCTGATGCTCGCCATAAAGACCATCCTATCCACGGCTGACCAGATCCCAATACTCGTGTTCGACGAAATCGATGCGGGTATAGGAGGTCGAGTCGGGAGTGTCCTGGGTCAGAAACTATGGGGTCTGTCCAAGAGCCACCAGGTGCTATGCGTAACTCACCTCCCGCAAATAGCGTGCTACGCAGACCACCACGCCAAGGTCACAAAACTTGCCTCACATGACAGGGCGGTGACATCGGTGGAGGTTCTGGACGGCGAAGCCAGGGTGGCGGAACTTAGTCAGATGCTGGGCTCCGATAGCGGGGCAACCCGCACCAACGCCCTAGAGATGCTACAACAGGCCAATAGCTGGAAGGAAAGCAAAAGTGTAAAGGGTGTCGACGTTCATCAAAAAGGTTCTGGCTAACTGGCCAGCATAAATGTCACATTCCCTCTATGGAGAATGTGATTTTGACTCCCAAAGAACAGACGAGACTTCAGGTTCTGAACAGCCTGCTTGCGGAGCACATGACCCTGGACCAGGCAGTCACGCTGATGGGTGTCAGTGAAACGCATCTTATCGTTCGATCATCAGGCACACGCCATCCCTGGCGAGGGCTTACGGCAATGCTTGCTTCTGTCGCGTAACAAGACAATAATAAAGGCAGACGCTGCTAGCCGCCGTTGCTCACGGCCACCGCGGCCTAAGCAGGCGCACACGTCGAAGCCTACAACCTGTGTGCCCAGACTCGACTCGCCACACTGTCGTGTTCAATACTGGTACGCACAGGTACGCACCAGGACAGAGCAACAGCTAACCGTGCATGCACCAATAAATCTGCAGCTGAAGACACTAGTCTGTACGAGCGAAGCGAAGACACTAGAGGACATAGTGCACAGCTTAGATGCTGAAGCCAAGCCACAGGTACTAGCCCAAGTGGGTAGCCTATCATACTATACCTTGGTCAATCTAGCTGGCGTGTCCCCTCAAACCGCTTAGGCAACTAGGAATATCATGCACACATTTCTACACTAGCTAATATAACATTAAAAAAAAACCGTTAAAACAATAAAGCATTAGGAATTTGGCAGGGTTGTATCTGAATGCGAAGGAACTTCTACGAGTAAATTCAATAGCCAAACGTAAAAATTTGCAAAGCGAAGTTGAAAAAATTTCTATGCTAACGGCAAAGGTCGGTAACATGTAAAAGGGAATCTAGGGCGGAAGACTAACGGGCAGAATGGGAACATAAAAAATATAAAAGGAAAGAACGGGCCTCCGAGGAATTGTGGCACCTTGAAACCGATGGGGCAGTCAATCTTGACCGTTCCCTGAGGAACGCACAGGAAAAACACAGTATATTCATCCCCCCCCCCCCCCCCCTTCAGACCCTAACTTCTCATGGGGGTGAGGATTCGGTTACAAGTGTCGTGAATAATTCAATGTAGCAGGCAGGAAATCAGAAGAAAAGGAAGTCAGAGCCGGGTACACAACAAAATAGGAGGTAGGGAGCAGCCACGAGCATGACAAAGTGAGGCATGCTTGATAAAGAATGGAAGCGGATAGCCACCATACCGTTGGTGGGGGGGACAAAGCGGTTACAGCATTCACCGCTGTGATCGCGGTGAAACGATGGCCACCGGACGGTGGTCGACGCCTTTTATGTGATGCAGGAAGACGAAGGAAGTATTACCTGGTTGAATGAAAGCAACGGAAGGGAGAGAGGGCGGACGACATGGCCGCAATGGATAACCGACCGCACCGTGTGTTTGTGCTGCAGGCCCCCCAACGCGGTCCGCCCGCACTGGGACGGCCCAACCCAAGGTCAGCGGGCTATGGAGGAAGTGAGGGATCAGATGATCTTGCCATGTCGCCCAAGGGGAAGGTTTTGCGCGTTGGAAACGCGCGTCGGCGACCGTTCCCAGGAACCGGCTGTCAACGCAACTTGGGTGGCGCAGTGCCCACCAAGGCCAAGGCTAGGATGGAACGCATA